AAAATTTTTTTTTGTAATTTTTATTTATAATTTTTATTTATATAATTTAAATAAATTTTTTTGTTGATCACAATTATTTGCGCAAATATTTTTTTGCAGATCATAAGATCGTCGAATTTCCAACACTGAGCGTGTGACAAACAATCATAAATCTTGAAAAAATTATAAAAATCGTTTACAACTTGTTCTGGCATATTTCGGTAATGCAGGTAGATGTGCAATGGGTGTTTGCTTGGCATAGTGTTGGCACTTCATGCAAGTGGGTCCATTTGCCTTTGGCCACCATCAAGTTGTAGAAGGCCTTACACATTTATTTCTTTTTAAAAAAGGGGACAAATTTGAAGGCAAGGTTGTGGTTTTTGATAGATTATTGCATTTTTGATGGCCAGTATCTGGTTTTAGTTTTGAAAATTTCATCTTTTCTTAAGTATCGATGTGGCTAGTACCAACACAAACAGAACCTAGCTATCTATTGAAGGTGGTATTTTATAATGTACCATAGTGTCCCTTTCTATTGGGGAAAACATCAAAGATTCCAGGTCAGTGTTTCCAATATGATCAGAAGTTTGACATTGTTTGATTCAACAAAACTCACAATCAGTATACTGTAGTTTGTGCCAGTTGACTTTTTATTTGATATGATAATTTAGGTATAATTTTTATTATATTTAAATTATTCAGATTCATGTATTAAATTTTAAGATTTTTAATATTAATAAATTATTTATATATTATATAAATTATATGATATATTGATAATTCAATTTGTCAATACTATAAAAAATGAAACCATTGATTTGAAAAGGTAAGAAACAAACAATACTGCAATTATGTTTATTTTTTTCAAAAATCATTATTTTAGTGTGCATATTTGACATCAAATGAAAAAAAATTCCAAATAATTTAAATATTTATATCCATTAGATGAGAAACTATAAGTATGATAATAATGTTAATGTTAATATCAATACTAAAGTTTAAATTAATATTTGAATGATTAATGATAATTACCATTATTATTACCAATAATTGTTACTTTATTGGAGTTCACAGGTTGGGAAAGGTTTGTAAAATTTAATAATCTGCTAGTATAAACAGCATTTGGATGAATTACTGTGGTAATTGTTGAAGGATCAAATTTTATTTCATCCATTTTCTTAAATTCTTTTCTAATTGATTCATCACCTGACTTATAGTAATAAATTGAATCATACCAATAACCAATAATCTTATAAATTTCTACAGCAGTTGGACGTTTATCTGGATTAGCATCCATGCATTTGAATGCTAGTTCAATATAGAATTTTGGTGTATTGTTTGAGAATCCAGGTCTTGCACCTTTACATATTTTCATTGCAAGATATTCATCATGTGCCAAATTATTAAATGGTTGTTGGCCAGTTGATACTACAGACATCAGAACTCCAAAACTGTATACATCTGATGCTTTTGTATATGGTTTCTTTTTTAAAACTTCTGGTGCAATATATGGTAGTACTCCACATATATCATTTTTGTCTGATGATGATGTTTGACTAGATGTGCATGATAATCCTAAGTCTGCAATATATGAAACATTTCATTTTGAAGAATATTACCACTATGAAGATCATGATGAATGATTCCTTTTTCATGAATATCATTTAAACCTTTAATAATGTAATAAAGAATATCAATTTTGTCATTCCATTTTAAATTTTTAAAATTTTTAGTTAAATAATTTTGAAGACTTCCATCCTCCATATATCTCATTACAAATATATATTCTTTTGTAATTGGATCTTGTGTTAATCCATAAATATGAATTATATCATTTTTATCATAAAACTTTATATAATTTTTGAACTAAATAATAAATAAAATATTTAATTACAACAATAACAATTGATAATATTTAAAAATCAGAAAATAAATAGAAAAATAAAATAATTTATCTCATTAAGAAATTCATCAGAAATATTCTGTGAATCATGTAGTTTTTTTAGTGCCACAGTCCTATCTTTACTAGTTTTTTCATCACAATTTATATATTTCTCACCATTTAACCAAATAGCTTTGGATATAGTTGCAAACCTACCTTCACCTATCTTTTCAATATTTGTTAAATCATTATAAGGAATCCATTGAAGATAATATTTATTATCATGATATTTTGCTTTAAGTTGTGTACTTTTAATCAATTTGTCTAATGTTTCATTGCCACTAGTCCATCCTTCAGTTAATAGCTTTGGATCACATGATTGACACCATGAATAATAGGTATTATATATTGCATGTTGGACATTCTCCATAATTTTTATTTCTTTCCTTTGAATATTCATTGTTTTTATCAGTAGAAGTATTGTTATGATGCTTATTTTCATCCAAAATGTTTTCCATTGTGGTATATTTGTAAAAAAAAATTTTTTAAAGAACTTTTTTTTTCAGCCATAAATATGTATCACAAAAAATATATTAATATTAAATATATTTAGATTTATCTAAAAAAAAATTAAAATTTTACCTGAACTACAGCAATTCAGCATTGACACCCTAAAGTCATAAAACTGTAATAAATATTGCAAGCATGTGATCAGAGTTATTGGAGTCACCAAATCTGAAAACTAAATTAAAATCACTATATACAACTATACTGCTTGATTAGAGTTTCTATTTGAACAAGGGTTTATTCAAATTATTTGTTTCTCATTATGAATGAGTATTTGAATTATGTTGGAAGTTTTTTCAAATAAAATAAATAATGAATAATTCAATAATTTGATAATTCAAATAAGACAAATAAATGAATAGTTCAAATAAAACAAAAACAAATAAAATAAATAATTCAATTGATAATTTAAATAAAACAAATAAACAAATAATAATAATTTGAATAATTCAAATAAAATGAATAATTCAAATATTTCGAACAAAACGAATAATTCGAGTAAAACAAATAATTAGAATATTTCAAACAAAACGAATAAACAAATAGTTTGAATAAAATGAATAAACAAATAGTTGAATAAATGAATGACAACAATTCGAACAATAAAACGAATAAATGAAATAAAATGAATAATTCAAGCAAAACAAATATTTGAATAAACAAATGATGTCGATTCGAATGATAAACAAATGATGATGATAATTTGAATAATAAATGAATGATGATATCAATTCGAATGATAAACAAATGATGTCAATTTGAATAATTAACAAGTGATGATGTCAATTTGAATGATAAACGAATGATGTCAATTCGAATATAAACAAATGATTTGAATAATTCAAACAAAAATTTGTATTACGAATAGAAACTCTGCAATCATCAAATCTAGCACAACTATATACAATACTTGAGGCATCCCTACAAGCAATATAGTAAACCAATAAAAGGGATTCCTAACTAATAATTAAATGTTGGCCAAACCGTTAATCATCAGAAAGGGTTATGAATCAATCAATCATGCCAGATTTATCAATTAATGAAAATGTTATTTTTATTACTAAAGTGTTATAAGATTAATTATTTATTTTTATTGATTAATTTTTTTTCACTAAAGGAGATTTCAAGCATATTTATACTTCTTAAAGTATTACAAATAACATGATTTTGTCCAATAAATAAAATAAATAAAATAGAATGATAAATGATGACTAATTGACAATTACTAAAGTTAAATGTCAAAAATGTGTCATTGATGATGTCATGATTAAATGATACCTGATGAAATGTTTTTGTCATAATTAATTAAAAATAAAATTTATCTTTCTTGAAAATATGATTAAACAGAAAAATATGGCAATGTAACTCTGAACACACATTTATATTGCACCAATTCCATTTGATTCATTAATGGCATAGAACCTTTTTTTGGAGTAAACACAGCTTAATAGGACAGGTTTTTGGATTATTTTTGCAGGAAAATCAATTAATTAGCTGAATAAACCCTGAACTAGAGATAAATCTGGTTTTCTTTTTATTTATCAGATCAACTCACTTATTTAACTTATCAAACAATTATACTATTGATCCAGAATTAAAAGAGCACAACAATCATGATTGTTATATTTGTAGTCCTACTCTAAGCCTAGAAACATCATCATCAAAATCCATTGCATCTAGCCTCCTCATCATGATATGTTTTCAGCATTTGTCAGATTTGTAGTGTATTTCACAAAATCCTATGGACATCACATATTGAAAATTTATGTGACCATTCCATATCAGGGATGACCATCCTGTTTTGTCTGATTGTGGCCAAGGGAACCCTTTAGAACATGGTTCTCCATTTGATGGTTACAATGGTGTAATCTGATACTTCATGACCAAATTATACAATATTTTTTCCATGATAGAATGTCTGCATGGATTGCATTAAGTGAGATGTTCCTTTTTTCCATGCAGGTAAGCTGTGCATGTGGATCATTCCATAGTTTTGAAATTCGTCATGTTTGAAGAAATACCTAATTCACCATCCCCAGGGTCCTTCCACAACTTGTTCCAGCATATTTCAGTAGTGCAGGTAGATGTGTAATGGGTGATTGCTTGGCATGGTGTTTCCACTTCATGCAAGTGGGTCCATTTGTCTTTGGCCATCATCAAGTTATAGAAGATGTGTGAAGGCCTTACACATTTATTTCTTTTTAAAAAAGGGGGACAAATTCAAAGGCAAGGTTGTGGTTTTTGATAGATGTTTGCATTTTTGATGGCCAGTATCTGTAATTTTGAAAGTTTCTTCTTTCTCAAGCATCAATGTGGCTAGCTATATATTGGAGGTGGTATTTTTTAATGTACTCATAATATTCTT